AGCATATTTATTTTTAAACACATTTTACTTGCACGTGATTAACTTAAGAAAGCAGAACTTCCCATTTTAGGTATTAAGTTTTTTTCTTTTAACTCAATTTTAATAAAGCCAAGATTTATTTTTGAGTTAATTTTTAATTATTTTTGAGTTGATTAAAAGTTGGAGAATGCCAAACAAAACTAATAGTTTCTATAATCCTTTAAAAATATTTTTAATAAGGTAAAGGATTTACTTTAAGTTATAATAAGGTAAAATTTTTGTGTTACCTAATGGTATTTAATATAAACACAAAGATATTGTAGGTGTAAGAAACATCTTAATAGTATCCTCATTCTGAATTTGGAGAAAGAAAATCAAGACAATGTCAAATTATATGTTATGATTATCCAAAGGTAAGAAATAGCTACCGGCAATATCGGTATCTTTAAAAGCACAGCAATAAGTGGCAGTGATTATTAGTAATGTTAACATTTTTCCAAAAGTAAGAAACTTAAAAAAATATTTTTTGAGTATGTTAAAAAGCACAAAGAATTAACAGAATATTTTTACAATTTAGGAATGTTTTATCTGGGCACAGGATAACTTTGTTCTTTAATGGAAAATAAAATTCTGGTTTTATTCAATTTGCTTATTATTCATGAAAGAATCTGTAAAAGCCTTGGTTATGATAAACCTCACATTTGACCAATTTGGTAAAAAATTTTACTTCTCCCTTGAAATTTATTTTTTTTTTTTAGCTATAATAAACCCAACAAATAAAGTGTACTTATTCTCAGACCTTCTACCTGTATGTATACTATTGAATTAATCTTTCACTATATTCTTTCATATCTTGGCACAAACAGAAATTTCTCCCCCACTCCCAGCTTTATTGAGATATACCTCATATATAACATTGTGTAAGTTTAAGGAGTACAATGTGTTGATTTAATACACATTTTGAAAAATGATTACTACCATAGTATTAGCTAACAGCATATGAATACAGACATTTATTTTAAAATAAAATTATTTTCTATATTCCTAGATAAGCAAAGACATAGCTGATACTATGCATTCACATTCCCCTGTCTTTCCAAATAGTTGAAAGGGTGTAAACCTTTCTTTTTTTAAAAAATATATTTTATTGATTTTTTTTTTTTTTTTTTCAGAGAGGAAGGGAGAGGGATTGAGAGCTAGAAACATCAATGAGAGAGAAACATCGATCAGCTGCCTCTTGCACACCTCCCACTGGGGATATTCCAGCAACCAAAGTACATGACCTTTGCCTGAATCGAACCTAGGACCCTTCAGACCAATGATCTATCCACTGAGCCAAACCAGTCAGGGCCCTGAACTTGGTTTTTAATAACACTTCCATAAAGCTAGAAGTTGAACCACCAGACATAATTCACAAGTTAAAATTAATCTGTCCTTTTAAACTTATGATTTATAGACTGTGACTATTAGATAACAAGAAATCTAAAATAGACTACATCGCCAATTTTAAAATGTCAAAAATTTTTTGTTATAGTTGCTAATTCACCTTAATATCATATAAACTTTATATCCAGCATAATCTGAAGTTAGTTGTTAACATTTCCAGGTTAGAAAACACAACTAGACCTCCCATATCTGTTTTTTTTTTTTTTTTTAATAATAAAACTTTTTTGTTCAGATTATTACAGGTGTTCCTCTTTCCTACTCCCCCCACTCCCATAGCTCCCCTCCACCTGATTCCCCACCCCACCCCATGCCCTTACCCTGCCACTGTCTTCATCCATAGGTGTAAGATTTTTGTCCAATCTCTTCCAGCAGCCCGCAGACCTCCTTCCCCTTGAGAATTGTTAGTCCAATCCCTTTCTATGTCTCGGATTCTATTATATTCACCAGTCTATTTTGTTCTTCAGATTTTTTATTCACTTGATTTTTAGATTCACTTGTTGGTAGGTATGTATTTGATATCTTTTTGTTGTTCATAGTTTTTACCTTTACCTTTTTCTTTTTCTTTCTCTTCTTAAAGAATACCCTTCAGCATTTCATGTAATCCTAGTTTGGTGTTGAGGAACTCCTTTAACTTTTTCTTGTTTGTGAAGCTCTTTATCTGACCTTTAATTCTGAATGATAGCTTTGCTGGGTAGATTATTCTTGGTTGTAGGTTTTTGTTGTTCATCATTTTGAATATTTCTTGCCACTCCCTTCTGGCCTGCATAGTTTCTGTTGGGAAATCAGCTCATAATCATATGGATACTCCCTTGTAGATAACTGTTTTTCTCTTGCTGCTTGTAAGATTCTCTCTTTGTCTTTTGCCCTTGACATTTTAATTATGATGTGTCTTGGTGTGGTCCTCTTTGGATTCCTTTTGTTTGGGGTTCTGTGTGCTTCCTGAACTTGTAAGTCTATTTCTTTCACCAGGTAGGGAAAGTTTTCTGTCATTTCTTCCAATAAGCCTTCAATATCCTGTTCGCTTTCTTCTTCTGGCACCCCAAAAATTCAAATGTTGGTACATTTTGAGCCGTCCCAGAGGCTCCTTACACTATCCTAACACTTTTTGAATTCTTCTTTCTTTTTGCCTTTCTGGTTGGGTGATTTTTGCTTCCTTGTATTCCAGATCTTTGGTTTGATTCGTGGAGTACGTTGATCTATAGTTAGTTTCTGTATCTTCTTTACTTCAGACATTGTATGCTTAATTTCTGACTGGTCTTTTTCCATTTTTTTGACATTCTCATTAAGGTCCTTAAAGGTCTCACAAAGTTTCTTAGAGGTCTCATCAAGTTTCTCAAAGGTTTTTAGAAGATTCTTGAGTAATCTTATAAATGTGATTCTGAACTCTGTGTCATCCAGTAGTTTACTTTCCTCCATCTCTCCCATTCGTGACATGCTTCTGTGTCTCCTCATTTTGGTTGCCTTTCTGTGTTGATGGAGTGGCTTTGTGTGGTCAGTGACTGATAGGGGTCAGTAGCTCAGCTTCCCCAATCACCTGAGGTGATCACTCTTGATATATCCCTTTGTGGGCTGAGTGCAAAGTCTTGGTGTAATTAAGCCTTGATTGCTGTTGGTACTCTGGGAGGAATTGACCTTCAGGCCAATTGACTGAGGACCTGCTATCTATAAAGAAAGAACTGCTTTGGAGACACGCCTTGTTTCAGTGGGGCTTTGGTGCTCACTGAGTCTGTCTCCTGAATGTGTCACTTATGGGTGTGAGGGGTTGAAACTGACCACTAGGAACACTGGCTTCTGGATCCCCAATGGGGTGCAGATCAGCTACTGTCTGAGGCCACCCTGCAGAAGCTACTGTGAGAACCACGGTCCTTTCCTCCCTGCTTGGCGCTGTCTGAACCAGGTTGCAAGTTTGCTAGGTTAAACTGCAATAGAGAAGGCCATTCATATGCAAAAGCCGCTGCTTGGAGCTTGGGTGTATTTGTAGATTGTGCGGGGCGGAGTCTCAGGGTGTCACTAGGCTGGGGCGTGGCCAACAGCGATGGTCTCTGCCTCTCTGACCGCATCCCTGCGTATCCCCATGTCTCGCACCACAGCGCAGCAAACAATTATTCTTGTGTGCAGCTCCACAAGCAAGCCACCCTCACTTTCTGACCCGATGGCAGACCGTCTAGCTTCTCCCCAGAAACTGGATTTCAGAGAGATTGGGAGCTTGTCTCTCTTCGGGCTGAAGAAAGCAACGCCCCCCGCCAGCCCGTTTCACATCCGCGCCCCCTGTACCTCAGTTTTTCAGCACTTGTGCCCTGAATTCTCCTCTTTCAGTCTAGTTCTAGAGCGTCCTTTCAGCCAGGTTTCCCTTGTTTTGGGGTGATAGATGATCTGTTTCTTAGTTGTAGTTTTGAAATTGTGTACGGCAGCAGTTTAGGTGTGTTTACCTACGCCACCATCTTCATTCCCCATATCTGTTCTTTTTATGATTAGAATAGCAAGTTGTTCTCAGGAAGAGCTCCATTCTATTAGTAATGTTCTTGTTACCATAAATATTTTAAGCAAGTACCTTTTAAACAATAAAGTATACATCTATGATTCCCCTGATCAGGAATTGAAGTAAAACTTCTGGAACAAACTTCTGGTTTCCTTAGGTCAGTTCTTTGGAAGAAGTAAATGCCCTTTTAGTGTTGTGATTTCCTTTCCTTTTTTTTTTTTAACCACTGTTTTATTTGTAATATATTTTTCATAGATAAAAGATATTCACACCATCTGTTCCCTTATTTCACTTTTAGCTTATTTACTGAATCGAATTCAAGTTTTGAATGTTTATATGAAAAAATTATACTTTATATACACATTTATCTTAAATGACTGACTTTAATTATTATTGCTTTTAGAGAGAAATATCAGACTGTTGTTCCACTTATTTATGCATTTATTGGTTGCTTATTGTATGTACCCTGGCTGGTATCGAACCCATAACCTTAGTGTTTCAGGACAATGCTCTATCCAACTGAGCCAGGGCTCCTTAAATGAATGACTTTAACTGTGGCCTTTTTTAAAAAATTAGATAAAATCATTTATAATATATGGTATTTTGGAATTTTTTTCCTATGTAGTTCTGGTGGTATTGATTGAAATCATCTCTCTCTATAAAAGCCTAAGTGACCAGCTAACTGGCCAGTACCTATGACGTGCAATGACCACTAGGGGATAGACGCTCCAGCCGGTAGCTATGATTCACACTGACCACCAAGGGGCAGCCACTCAAAGCAGGAACTGCTGAGCTGTGGTGACTTGGCAACTGTGGTTCTCAGGTGATGCACCCGGAACCAGAGAGGAGGCAGCACGATTCTGGGGTGCATCACCCGAGATCTACCCTCTTACAATCCCTGATCCCTCGGGATGTCAGAGTGCCGGTTTGGGCCCGATCCCCACAGGCCAGGCCCAGGGACCCCTACGGTGCACGAGTACATGCACCAGGCCTGTAGTGATGATATATTATGCTTAATTTGTTACATTAAAGAAATGTGTTTATGGTTTTGCCTTATACATTTAAGTATTTTAAATTACTTTTTCTCTTTCTCTAGCTGTTCCATTCCCTCCAACCCATAGGCTTACTTTGAAGGAAGTCTTTGTGAATGGGAAACCTAATGGTGAAGTCTTGAAAAACCATTTTGTGAAGGAAGGGCGAGTGGAAGAGGACGTAGCCTTAAAGATAATCAATGATGGGTCTGCCATCCTGAGAAATGAGAAGACTATGATAGAAGTAGAAGCTCCAATCACGGGTATGAGAAGAATTTGCATGGTTGTGCTTAGGTTTGAGCTAATTTAAGAAATGATCACAAATAACCAACTTAAATTTTTCTAGAAATTATGAGACCATTTTAGGATTTTTAGTATGTTTTCTTTTCACTGAAGAAATACAATTTAAAATGTATGTTATTTCCAGTAGGACTATTCAGTGTTGATAGATTGACTACAGTTTTAGAGCAGTCCAGTCCAAAGCAAAAGTAATTTGAAAGTTAAACTGTGATTCCTATTGGTGTAATGTCCTTTCTTTTCTTTTTAAAATATGTTTTATTGATTCCAGAGAGGAAGGGAGAGGAGTAAGAGATAGAAATATCAGTAATGATGCCGAAACCGGTTTGGCTCAGTGGTAGAGCGTCGGTCTGCGGACTGAAAGGTCCCAGGTTCGATTCTGGTCAAGGGCATGTACATTGGTTGCGGGCACATCACCGGTAGGGGGTGTGCAAGAGGCAGCTGGTCGATGTTTCTCTCTTATTGACGTTTCTAGCTCTCTATCTCTCTCCCTTCTTCTCCGTAAAAAAATCAATAAAATATATTATAAAAAAAATTATATATATATATATATATATATATATATATATATATATATATCAGTAATGAGAGAATCATCAGTTGGCTGCCTCCTTCATGGTCTCACTGAGGAATGAGCCCGAAACACAGGTATGTGCCCTGACTTGGAATCAAACTATGACCTCCTGGTTCATATATCTACACTCAACCACTGAGCCATGCCACCTGGGCACCTTCTCCTTTATAAGTTTTTTATCTCACTCAATGTGTTGTTGTTGTTGTTTTCTAGTGTGTGGTGACATTCATGGACAATTCTTTGACTTGATGAAGTTGTTTGAAGTTGGAGGATCACCTACTAACACACGCTACCTCTTTCTGGGTGACTATGTGGACAGAGGCTATTTCAGTATAGAGGTAAAAATTAAACTGGAAGAGTTATCATATTGTGTGTGTTTTTTAATTTTGTTTTCATTCTTTAGTAAAAAAAAATCAAATGAGAACATCGGCAGAATTTATAAACTTTGTTACTTTCTGTCATTAAAGTGAGAGAGAAATATTTTATGTAAAAGTTCTTTTTCTTTTTTTTAGCTAGTAGAAAATCTAACAAATAGAAGGCCATATTAACCCAGCTTTGTAAGTAAGTTAAATGATTACTTAACCTTTTCTCTTTGAAGATGGTGTATGGGCTGTATATAAATGACATAAATTGCTATTCACCTTACATGTGGCTTGAATTAACTGACCTTAATTACAAGATCATGAGTTGCTGGGCTACAGTTAAATCTTAGATTAGCTGCCAATGATAAATAAGCAGGTGCTTAGCTTATTAAAGGAATAATTTCTGATGCTATTACATATAGTAAGCACTTAATAAATATTCATTGAAGGAAAATGATTAATTAATGAAATTAACTTAAAACCTTATCATTTACTTTTATATATTTTAAAAATTGAATGATGAGAGGAAAAAGGTTACAATTAAAACAAACTAAGTTTTTCTGTATAAGAGAAAATTGTTTTAAAACCTAATGCAAGGGCTTGAGTACAATGAAACCACAACATATTCATGTTTAATGGCCATTTATTAAGCTGTACATACTTGGCAAATAAAATAAGTAATTTTGAAATAGTGTGGGTGATTGAATTTATAATGTTCTTGGAATAAGCATGAGATGAGGAAATTGAGTCTGCTTGCTATTCTTGTAGAATTTAGTTTTGCCTCTCCCTCAGACTGTGAGAATCTCACTGTACTAAGTATGTTTCTGGTGGTTAAAGATTTATTATTCTTGCAGCATCACTTATAAATACAACTCAGCTACCTCGCCTGGTTCTCACCCATAGAAGCAGCAGTTGTTCTAAAACTGCCTGAAAAATAAATGACCAGAGAAACAGACCTTTCTCTTTAGTTAGATAGGCAGTCTAAACTCATGAATCCGAAATGTTCATGTTATCTTCCAGTGCCTCATATTTATTTACTGTCATCTATGAAGACAAAGGTTAATGATAGATTCTAAGGAAATATGCTCATTTTTCCTACTGCCCAATAAATTCTTAGTCTTTAAATAGGTACCTGGGATGGGAAGAGGTCATACTTGTAAACTATATTATTGAACAGCTTTCCTATTCTTATTTCCTATTCACATTGTATAGACAGTGAGCCAAAAGTATGGATGTTTGAAAGTCACATTGAATATTTACTTCTTTGTGTGTTTGCTAACATTAGGTGTTAGAGGCTGAAGAGAAGAATACAGAGCTTAATTAAGTTTTAATTAGTCATTTAATGAAACCATTTTTTAAAATTCTTATCCAATGATATGTTGATTGATTTTAGAGAGAGAGAAAGAGAAAGAGAAGGAAACACCGGTGTGAGAGAAAAACATTAGTTGGTCCTATAAGTGCCCCGACCTGCAAACTTTTTAGTGTATGGGATGATGCTCCAACTAACTGAGCCATCCGGCTGGGCTGAAACAACTTTTTAAAAATATAAATATTGTGCCAAATTATCTTCCAAATTAACTTACATACTTAAAAAAGTTTTAGGCTATCAGTGTATTCAAGAAAGCATATATAAAAATTCACAATGATTTTTATACAGTACTAGAGGCCCTGTGCACAAAATTCATGCATGTGGGGGTGGGGGGTTCCTCAACCCAGCCCGTACCCTCTCACAGTCCGGAAGCCCCATGATCAATTGTCCCAAAGAGGTAGGCCCTGCTCACCTGGCTGGGGCTCTGCGATGGATTGCCCCTGCAGAGGCCCTGACCACCCACCACAGTGTAGTTGCTGGGTAGCCTGGGCCTCTCTCTTTGGGGCGATCATGGAGACCCCCCCGGCCCTGATTGATCGATCATCTGCCGGCTGGTGGCCTGGGCCTTCCTCTGCAGGGTGATCATGGGGTAATGGCTAGGCTGATGCTCTATCCACTGAGCCAAATCAGTTAGGGCCCCTGTGTGATTTTGAGTGTCAATTTTGTGGCAGTCTCTAAGAATAAAACCTTAAGATTCATACTGTCTGTGGGAGCTGTCAGTATAATAGAAAATATATACTTATGGATAGATCTTTCATTATAAAATAAAAATATATATTTAATTATCAGCAGTATTTTTTTAAATATATTTTTATTGATTTCAGAGAAGAAGAGAGAGGGAGAGAAATATCAGTGATAAAAGAGAATCATTGATTGGCTGCCTTCTGCACACCCCTATTGATGATGGAGCCCAAAACCTAGCCATGTGCCCTGACGGGGAATAGAATCATGACCTCCTGTTGCATGGGTCGACCTCAACCACTGAGCCACTAACTGAGCAGGGCAGCAGTATTCTTCATATTGGGACCTTATGTAATGTCTGACATACAGTAGACACTCAATTTTACCATTCCTCTATTGTTGGATAATTAGGTTTATAGCAGGTCCTGCTTATTGCCTGCCTCTTTCTCTTTCCTTACTGTCAGAATTCCTATTTTGTTCAGATAAATGAAATGGAGGGTTCAGGGAGAACATTTGATTTCAGAAAGGGAAGGCTCTTATCCAAGTCCCAGGGAATGAATTTATGTTGGTTTGAACTAGTCCTAACAGTCCATTCCCTGTCATCAGAGATTGGTCTAGGGATAAACATGGAATCCAGTTTTATGCCATAATATACACTGAGTGGCCAGATTATTATGATCTCTGAATGCATAGTAATATGGCCACTCAGTGTATATCATATAATAAAAGGCTAATATGCAAACTGTCCCCTCGACCAGGAGTATGACCAGCAGGCAGGCGGGCCAACCACCCATGTTCCCTCCCCCTGGCCAAGCTGGCCAGACCCCACCCATGCACAAATTCATGCACCAGGTCTCTGATACATACACACACACACACACACACACACACACACACACACTGAGTGGCCAGATAATTACATGTTCAGAGATCATATCGATAATAATCTGGCACCTCAGTGTATTAAATAAGGCATCTTTACTCAGAAACACACATAAAACAGAGTTATTGATCAGTTGATGAAAATGTTGGGAGCAGAGGACCCTGATTCTGTGTTTTCCCTGGGAGCAGTATTGACCAATTTAATTTTTGCAGTAACTTTACAGTACATAGGCAAAAAGAATAAGAAGTATCACTGTACTTGCAAATGTGTAAAATGCCTGTAATAAAGTTATTTGTTGTTCATTTTTTTATGAGAAAAGATTTAAAACAACCTGAATGTTCAGTAGGAAACTAGTTAAATAAATTGTAGTACATCCAGACAATGGAATGTACCAGACAATACAGTGAGGCTGTTTTTTTAAAATGGAAAGAGAGCCCTGGCCAGTTTGGCTCAGTGGATGGAGTATTGACCTGTGGACTGAGGAGTACCGGGTTTGATTTCGGTCAAGGGCATGTCTGGATTGTAGGCTCAATCCCCAGTGGGGTCATGCAGGGGGCAGCGGATCAGTGATTAGTAATTCTCTCTCATTGTTGATGTTTCTTTTTTCTTTTTGTTCATCATTGTCTATCTCTCCCTCTCCCTTCCTCTCTGAAATCAATAAAAATAAATTTTTAAAAAATGAAAAAAGAAAACAACCCTCTGTAAACTGGTATGGAATAATCACTAAAGTGAAAAAAGATACATGCAGAGCTTTGCTTACCATCTGGTAATATTTCTAGAAGTTGGGGTGATGTGCGTATTCATGTGTGTGGAGTAATTGAGGTTGTGTAGAGTGTCTGAGAAAGTGCACCCAGGGAAGCCAGGGACATGAGCTGCTTTTCTCTTCCAGGGCAGCTGACAGGGAAATAGGGAGTAGAGAGGATTTTTTTGGAGTTGGTATTTTGTTATGATTCTAATTAATGTAATTTGACTAGAGAACAAGATATGAATAATATGCATTCTTTGGAATTTATTGACTCCCTTTGTGATGGAGAACATGGTAGATTTTTATGGCTATCCCATATGTTATTAAAAAAATGCATTCTCTGTTTGTTGAACTGTTCTTTATAACTTTGATTCTTTTTGTCTGCTTAGACTGTGAGTTACTTTTGGGTTTCTGTCAAAATCTCCAACTATAGTTATTGATTTATCTGTTTCTCACCATAGTCCTATCAATTGTTGCTTGTATTTTGAGGCCGTATGTGTGTATTTCATGGTTAGCATATACTATGAATCTTCATAATTCATGAGTTCTGTATTTGTATATATACCTCCTTGCTAAAATTTACTTGTAATCCCAAAATCAATACATATAATACTTTTTGAGGTTCTAGGTCCTCTCAGCAGAAGGAGCTAGGAAATATACACACATATATTCATATTTTATTTATTTCATTACCTATCCATTTTATCTTAAAAGCATAAATTCTTATGATACCTCTGATTCCAATCCATCACAAGGTGGTTTGGAATCATCATTTTAGCCTTCCCTCTTTCCTGGCTCTCAATATAGTCACTTATCTGCTCCATCCCAGTATACCCAAATAATGGGTACATAATAGCCAACTCATACTGTGAAAAACTAGAGTTACATTATTTGTGTGTATTTTTCTTTGTGTCTTTAGTCTTGTAGTATGCAATCAGCATGCTGTTTTCCAAAATTACTTTGGTTAGTTCCCTCCTGCTCCTCTTCTTTGTTGCTTTGTTATCCACTTATAATACAGGTAAGTTCATTTGTTACTGTTTATACTCCATTTTGGTTGATTCATTTACTTATTTTGGAAGGCATATGTAAATCATTACAGTACTGAGGTTCTGGAGTTTAAAGCTGTCCAAGGGGAACAAAAATTGAGAGATTTCTATGAAGGCTATATTCTATGCTCTGTCACATTCTAGGGCAGTGGTCAGCAAACTTATTAGTCAACAGAGCCAAATATCAACAGTACAATGATTGAAATTTCTTTTGAGAGCCAAATTTTTTAAACTTAAACTTCTTCTAATGCCACTTCTTCAAAATAGACTCGCCCAAGCCATGGTATTTTGTGGAAGAGCCACATTCAAGGAGCCAAAGAGCCGCATGTAGCTCGTGAGCCGCAGTTTGCCGACCACAGTTCTAGGGCAATGGCATATTACATTCACTAACTGAAGGTTTCATGTTTCAACTTGGTAATAATAGTAAGATATGCCATTATCAGTCATTTGAATTTATGTAAGTTACTGGTATCTTTGTGTATTTTCATGGTCACAAATAAAAATTTTATGCTTGTATTTGTCTTGTAGTGTGTACTGTATTTATGGAGTTTAAAGATTAATCATCCCAAAACATTATTTCTGCTTCGGGGAAATCATGAATGCAGGCATCTTACCGAATATTTCACCTTCAGACAGGAATGTAAGTATAATCACTTCTCCAGAACTGTTATAGTTATCCTTTATCTAGTCCTAAAATGAATCAAACATAAAGAAACTAATGGAGTTCAGGTGTTTTCTATTTTGTTTTGTTTTCTGGTAAAAACAAAATTCCACCTTTTAACACATTTATTTTGAAAATAACTTTTGGGTTTATATATATATATATATATATATATATATATATATATATATATACACATATATATATATATATATATATATATATATATATATATGTTTTTTTGTTTTGTTTTGTTTTGTTTTTAACAGAGAGGAAGAGAGAGGGATAGAGTTAGAAACATCGATGAGAGAGAATCATCCATCAGCTGCCTCCTGCACACCCCCTATTGGGGATGTGCCCTCAACCAAGGTACATGCCCTTGACTGGAATCGAACCTGGGACCTTTCAGTCCGTAGGCTGACGCTCTATCCACTGAGCCAAACCAATTTCGGCTTATTTCTATTTTTATAAAATATTACATTTGAGCCGAAACCGATTTGGCTCAGTGGATAGAGTGTCGGCTTACAGACTGAAAGGTCCCAGGTTCGCTTCCGGTTAAGGGCATGTACCTTGGTTGCGGCACATCCCCAGTCAGAGGTGTGCAAGAGGCAGATGATTGATGTTTCTCTCTCATTGATGTTTCTAACTCTCTATCCCTCTCTTCCTCTCTGTAAAAACTCAATAAAATATATTTTAAAAAATATTATATTTGGTATATTTGGAAAACAGAAAAGTCTAAAAAAGGTAAAAATTATCCACAGTCGCCGAAACCGGTTTGGCTCAGTGGTAGAGCGTCGGTCTGCGGACTGAAAGGTCCCAGGTTCGATTCTGGTCAAGGGCATGTACATTGGTTGCGGGCACATCCCCGGTAGGATTGTGTGCAAGAGGCAGCTGGTTGATGTTTCTCTCTCATGGACGTTTCTAGCTCTCTATCTCTCTCCCTTCCTCCTCTCTGTAAAATATCAATAAAATATATATTTTTTAAAAATTATCCATAGTCATACCAATGAAAGATAATCACCACTCTCTCAATATTTGGGATGTAATCTTCTATTCTTTTCTATATACATAAAAACCTATCAAGAAATAGTTGAAAATATTTTAAAAATAAAATTTGGCTCATATATAATAGACTGCTTAATAAACTTCTCTTTTCACTTTATGTAATAGTATTTTTCCATATTATCAAATATTTTAATGTGACTTTAAAATGTTATTTTATTGTTTTTAAAGTATTTCATTTTATGAATGTATTATCATGTATCCATGTTTCCTCGAAAATAAGACATCCTCCGAAAATAAGACCTAGTGCATGGAAAGATAAGACATCCCCTGAAAATAAGACCTAGCGCAACTTTGGGAGAAAAAATTAATATAAGACACTGTCTTATTTTGGGGAAAACAGGGTATTTAGCCAGTTTAATCTCATCATTTTACTCTCATATCCTGCTTATTTTCCATCTACCATCAGCTGAAATTTTTATGTATTTTATATATAAATTTTATATTTTTTAACATATTTATTTGTTTATTGTCTTTATCTCTCACCAGAATTTAAGCTTCATGATGGTAGTGACATACTGTGTTCACTGTTGTTTTCTGAGAAACAATAATAACTCATAAAAGATGTTTACTAAATATTGGTTAAATTAATTTGTTGAATAGAATAATCATTTAGGACAAACTCTCAGAAGAGAATTATTAAGTCAGATGCCATGAACATTTTTATTTTATTTATTTGTTTGTTTGTTTGTTTATATTTTATTTTATGTTTGCTATTGATTGCTAATCCTCACCCAGGGATATTTTTCCATTGATTTTTAGGGAGAGGGAAAGAGAGGAACATTGATGTGAGAGAAACACATTGATTGGTTGCCTCCTGCACGAGCTCTGACCAGGGCCCAGGCCTGGGAGGAGCCTACATCAAGGTATGTGCCTTTGACCAGAATTGAACCCAGGACCCTTTGGTCTGCAGGCTGATTCTCTACCCACTGAGCAAAACTGGCTAGGGCTTTATTTTTATATTTTAAGTCCTCACCCAGTAATATGTTTGTTTCTTTTTTTTCTTTTTTTTTTAATATATTTTATTGATTTTGTACAGAGAGGAAGGGAGAGAGATAGAGAGTCAGAAACATCGATGAGAGAGAATCATCGATCAGCTGCCTCTTGCACACCCCCTACTGGGGATATGCCCGCAACCAAGGTACATGCCCTTGACCGGAATCAAACCTGGGACCTTTCAGTCCGCAGGCCGACGCTCTATCCACTGAGCCAAACCGGTCCCGGCTGTTTTGTTTGTTTGTTTGTTTGTTTTTTTAATATATTTTATTGATTTTTTACATAGAGGAAGGGAGATAGAGAGCTAGAAAAGTCGATGAGAGAGAAACATCGACCAGCTGTCTCTTGCACACCCCCTACTGGGGATGTGCCCGCAACCAATGTACATGCCCTTGTCCGGAATCGAACCTGGGACCCTTCAGTCCGCAGACCGACGCTCTACCACTGAGCCAAACAGGCTTTGGCTGTTTGTTTTTTATTTTAGAGAGAGAGAAAGGGAAGAGAGAGAGAGAGAAGTACATCAATGTGAGAAAGAAACATCAATGGTTGCTTCCTGCATCAACTGGGGATTGAACTCACAACTTTTTTGGTACACAGTGCAACATTCCAACTGAGAGTCACCTGGCCAGGGCAGAGGGCATGAGCATTTTATACAGTGAAACAAAAATATTGAAATTTTAAAAAACAAAATAATATTATACCTTTTTTATTTATTTAATTTTTTATTAAATTATCTTTTATTAAATTATAAATTTTACATTGCCCCCTATACATACCCACTCCCCCCAGAGTTTTGTGTCCATTGGTTGTACTTATATGCATGTATACAAGTCCTTCGATTGATCTCTTATCTCCCCCAGATCTCCCTCCCCTCCCCACTGTAATTTGACAGTCTGCTTGTTGCTTTACTGTCTCTATATCTATCTTTTGGTTCATCAGTTTATAATGTTCTTTATTATCCATAAATGAGTGAGGTCATGTGGTGTTTATCATTGACTAGCTTATTTCACTCAGCATGATGTTCTCCAATTCCATCCAGGTTGCTGCAAATGATGAGAATTCCTTCTTTTTTATGACAGCATAGTATTCTATTGTGTAGATATACCACAGTTTTTTTGATCCAATCATCTGCTGACGGGCACCTAGGCTGTTTCCAAATCCTAACTATTGTAGATTGTACTACTATGAACATAGGGGTGCATATATCCTTTCTGATTGGTGTTTCTAGTTTCTTGGGATATAATCCTAGGAGTGGGATTACTGGGTCAAATGGAAGTTCCATTTTCAGTTTTTTGAGGAAACTCCATACTGTTCTCCACAGTGGTTGCACCAGTCTGCATTCCCACCAGCAGTGCACGAGGGTTCCTTTTTCTCCACAACCTTGCCAACGCTTGTTGTTTGTTGATTTGTTGATGTTGGCCATTCTGACAGGTGTGAGATGGTACCGCATTGTTGTTTTGATTTGCATCTCTCATACCTTTTTTATTTCTAAAATATTAGAATGTTTTCTATAAAAACAAGGAAGGTAAATTAAATCTCTTGGGTCCTGTCTGGCTCTAAAATCTACCTCTCCCTAAATATTCCTGAACATATAATATTACTTTGGTGTTTGTATAATTGATAATTTGATTATAGATTTCACTTTGTGTCCTGTTCATATTTTTCTTCAGATTACTGTTTTGGGGGGACATGTTATAAAATATTTAAAGCTTTATTCCCAGAAGAATATTTAACACTGAAAAGATTTTTAAATTTGTTCTCTGAGACAAGGGTTTATTCACCTTTCCACCCCCCATAAAAATATCTTTGCTTACAAATGAATTACATTTTGGTAGTGTCCCATATGTTCATCTTAACTTTGGTTGCCAAAAACTTCCTATATTGGAGTAACTGCTAGTTGTAATGGCAGTTCTTCTTCTTAGTAGAACAAAAAAGGAAAGATAGTTGTTATAAGAAATGTTAGAGTACGAACACTTAAAAAAAAAATCCCTCTGACAGAAAAGTCAGCTACAGATGGGTGAGATACAGTACAGAACACTCCATCCTTTTGGATTTATTGGAATAAACACTATAAATCAGTAGATAATCAGAGTTAAAAACAGTGGATCTGTGGTGAGTTTTGTTTAAATTAATGTATTTAAAGAGCAATTTTGGAATATCTGTAAAGATTTTGATCCAGCCGAAACCGGTTTGGTTCAGTGGATGGAGCATCGGCCTGGGGAGTAAAAGGTCCCGGGTTCGATTCTGGTCAAGGGCATATACCTTGGTTGTGGACACATCCCTAGTAGGGGGTGTGAAGAGGCAGCTGCTTGATGATTCTCTCTCATTGATGTTTCTAACTCTCTATCCCTCTCTCTTCCTCTCTGTAAAAAATCAATAAAATAAAGTAAAATTAATTTAAAAAAAAGATTTTGATCCAGCAGTTTGACTTCTACAAATTTATTGTGCAGATTATATTGTGTGTTTTTTTAATGCTGCATAACAGCATTAAAATTTGCATAACAAATTACCCCAAATGTAGCTGTTTAAGACAGCACACTTATTACCTCAGTATGTTGAGGAGGCCAGGCACAGTATGGCGGAATCCTCTGCTCAGGGTCTCAGTGAGACAAAATCAAGGTGTTGCCAGGGCTGCAGTTTTCATCTGGAGCTTGGGGTCTTTTTCCAAGTTCACTAGTCCCAATTGCTGTGACTGTAGGGTAAAGGTTCCCATTTTCCTACTAGTTTTTAGGACTGCCTTCAGCTTCCAGTGACTGTTTATTGTTCCTAGCATGTGGCTCCACAATGCGACGTACTTTTTTCCAGGCTGCCTGAGTGCGTCTCTCTGCCTTCCTCTTCTGTGATTAGCCAGCTGAAGAAAACCCTCTGCTTTTCAGACACCCACCTGATTAGGCCAGGCCTATGTAAGGAAATGTCATCAT